CAACTCCCTAAGAGCAAGAGCTGTGCTGGTCGTAGATGAGGGTGGGAGCTGCCCATACCTTTGGTTACCAGGGAAGCATGAGGAAAAAGAAGAAATTGTACCTTTCCAGTCACCTGTGTGACTCTGCTCCACCAGACTACCTTTTGTTGACAAAGCTGCTCAGAAAGGTTCAAGATGGATTTGCCTCATCTGGCAGATTGTTCACCAGTCAGTTTCCCTCTCTTACTATCCCTGCTTAGTTTTTCCTCCCAGCAAGCACTCAATCCACTTCTTCTGAAATTCAGGGTTCCAGGATTTTCATATGTGTCTGTTTTATTTGTTCTCTCATATCTTTGTTGTAGAGAGTCTTTGTAATATGTTTGCCTAGTCTTACTGGAAGTCCCAGCATTCTATTTTTGGATGTATGTATTTATTGCTGTAAATTGTCCTCTGAGCACTGCTTTTGCTGTGTCCCAAAGTTTTTGGTATGTTCTGTTTCATTCTCATGTAACTTAAGGAATTTTTAATTTCATTTTTTGTATTACCCAGTAGTTTTTAATCAGAGTATTATTTAATGTCCATGTATTTTGTGTGTGTGTGTTGTTTTTTTTCCCTCTTGATCTTGCCTGTTGTTGATTTCTAGTTTTACAGCATTGTGATCTGAGAAAATACTTCACATTATTTCGATATTTTAAAAATTTTCAAGGCTTGCTTTGTTACCTAACATATGGTCTCTTCTGGAGAATATGCACTGGAAAGGAATAGGTATCATGCTGTTGTTGGGTTTAGGAATATGTATTGTTCTGTATAAATCTGTGAGCTCAAGTTAGTTGATTGTGTTTCTTAGTTCTTCTGTGTCTTTGTTGAGTTTCTTTCTAGTTCTGTTATTCATCCAAAGAGGTGTATTAAAATATCGGACTACTGCTGGTGTTACTGTTAAATGCTGTTGAGTCCTTTCTGACCCATAGCAACCCTGTATAGGGTTTCCAAGCAGTGGCTGGTGAGCTTAACCACAGACCTTGTGGTTTGAAGCGACTTTGCAGTCCAACACATTAACCCACAGTGCCACACACTATTGTTATAGAGTTGTATATTTCTGTCTTCAATTCTGTTTGATTTACATGTATTGAGATTTTTATTTTTAAGTCATCATAGTGAGACTGATACAAGTCTATCACAAAGAGAACTAGTCTGCAGCCATGCAGTAATTTCAGAGATATATTTAAACACATTTTGTTTTGAATTTTGTTGTTGTTAGGTGCCATTGAGTTGGCACCAACTTATAGCGATCCTGTATGGGTTTCTGAGGAACAGCTGGTGAGCTTGAACCACCAACCTTATGATTCAAACTGACTTTGCAGTGCAGCGCATTAACAGCGCCACCCCAGGACTCTCTATCTATATATGATAATTAATGATTTCCAGGAGTGGAAGGCAGGGGAAAAGGGGCAGTTTTGATTGGGAGGATAATGAGTGCATGTTAATGGTAGTGGAATGCTGTGAATGAAGCTATTGATAATAGTGGAAATAACATGAAAAAAATGTAACCACTATTGTGTTGTAAATGTGAAAGTTGTGCTGGTAGATATTTCTGTATGTATGTTTTTAACACAATTAAAAAAGAAGAAAAAAATTAGTGCTAGTCAAGATTGACATTAGCATTAGAATGTGCAATTAACTCATATTGCAACTGGGTTTTATAAAACCATCCAGAAAGGAAATGCTCTTAAGATACCAAGACTTGACTGCAACCTGACTCAAAATACGCTCACCTGCCTGTCACAAAGGGTGTCATTTGACCCTGTCATCAGCGACAATGGCGATGTCCATCAAACAATGGAAGTGCCATTTAAACACTGTGTTTTCTTTGCCTTGGTGTCTCTATAGTGAATGAGGATGCCTCAGGTCTCAGGGGCTGTGAGTGACTTTGGATGTGCAGTATTTTGAATCCTGAGCAACTGTGTGCCCAATAATAATTATATTGGTAATGTTGGCTAATAAGTTCTGAATACACGTGTAAGATGCTCTTCAATGTTTTGCACACACTAACTCACTCATAAGAACTCTTCAAAGTATTTACGTTATTTGTCATTGTTTGATGCTGTCAAGTTGTACCTTGACTTACGGCAGTTGCATACACAATGAAGCACAATGCACTACAGTCTTGTGTAGCCCCTTGACCAGCTAGGACTGTTGTGGCCCTTAGGGTTTTCATTGGCTGATTTTTGTAAGTAGGTTGCCAGCCCTTTCTTCCTAGTTCATCATAGTCTAGAAATGCCACTGAAACCTGTTTAATATCATATAACAACATATAAGTTTCCTCTGATAGACAGATTGAGGGTATACATAAGGTGCATTGACTGGAAATATAACCTGCATCTCCTACATGTTGTTGTTAAGTCCTTTTTGAGTCGGTTCCGACTTATAACAATGGTGAACAGCATTTCCAAGGAGCGGCTGGTTGGTTTGAACCACCAATCTTTTGGTTAGCTATCCAGGACTTATCCAACAGTGCCATACCAGGACACCTGCATAGAACCACCAATACCTCACCCTTATTTACAGTTGAGGAAACTGAGGTATGGAGGAGTTTAAGTAATTTGCCAGAGGTCACACCAACAATAAAGCAATGGAAGTTGAGTTTCCTCCCCTGGTTCTCTTGATTCTGCAGCCTCATGCCACTTTCCTATGAAAGTTGGGCTTCCCATGTAGCTTGTCTACAAATAGAATGTGATGGTGAATTTACTGTGGGGAGGTGGAGGCTAAGTCTAGCTTAAACATGTGTTTATTTCTGTCTGCAGCATGTTTAAAATGTTTTGACCCAATATTTCGAGTTTTGGAGATATTATATAATTGCCTATATTTTCTTCTTTTCAGTAATGTGAAGAATTACCATTCTGAATCCCATTTCCTATAGTATCGACTGACTTGCCACCATGCTCACCTCGTAGTTCCAAGGCAGTGGCATGTGACATGCTCTTGGTAGCAAGATGGCCCTTTGCCATCATATCTCTTTATCAGGCGAGATAGCATCAGACTGTGCTTAACTCATTTGACTCTTTGCTCAGTGTCTGGCGCACGCACTTAGCTGTTAACATTCCTCTGTACATTAATTATTGGGCATTTTGGATTCCACTCTCAGTTTCTTTGAATTTGGAAAATTAGGCCTAGCCCCAAGAGCTGGGTTTATTTTGCAAGTGCTGGTGAAACCCCTTGCTAAGCCAACAGATGTGAGGGTGATATGAGTTGACCAAGTGAAGGCCACTTGGTATTTTTTTAAAAGTCCTCCTATTACCTCGGACCTTGCACCCTTAGTGTCTGGAGGTTTATAGTAAGAACAATTGAGAAATAGCAGATCTGAACACCAGTAGACAGAATGTTTATCCACAGAGCCAGTTCATTTAAAGAGTGGAGTGGCAGGGGGCTGGGCTGAAAGGAGAAGCCTAAGGTTCTATTTTATCCAAATATGTGTACCCTGAGGTAAGTCACTTTACCTTATGAGCCTAGGATTCTTCATCTGATCAAAGGAGAACTTCCGTATGGTGTGCTAAAGTTCTTTGATACTTTGGCAAAATGAAAATTATGCAAGGATATATATCTAAATAACAGAACAACAAGAAACCAAGTGATATAGCATTATGTTTTGAGAAAATGTTGCAGTCTATGTTGTTGTTGGTAAGTGCTGTCGAGTCGATTCTGACCCATAACGACCCTGTATAGGGTTTCCGAGGAGCAGCTGATGAGCTTAAACTACCATCCTTGTGGATCAAACTGACTTTGCAATGCTGTGCATTAACCCACAGCACCACACCAGGACTCCTCATAGTTTGTAATTCCATTTATATGAAGTTCTAAAGTAGGAAAAACTCATCTCTGTGATAGAAGTTGGAATGGTGGTTACCTTTGGTGGGGGTGGGGGTGGGAGTGGGCGTTGACTGTAAGACAGTGTAAGGCAAACTTCTTGGGTGTTGGGAATGTTCCATTTTATCGTAAAGTCATTACAGTAGATAAAAATGATTTTCCCTGTTTGTGAGCTCATAGGTTAGTACATGGTAAAATTTTTCAGAAGAGAGGGACAAAGGAAAGAGGAGACAGAGAAGAACATTGCAATATTGTAATCATTTGGTAGCGTAGTGGCTATGAATCGGGCTGCGAACCTTAAGGTCAGCGGTTCGAAACTACCAGCCGCTCCGCGGGAGAAAGATGAGGCTTTCTACTCCCGTAAAGATTTACACCCTCGGAAACCCTGTACAGGGTCGCTATGGGTCGGAACCGACTCGACGGCACTTAACAACAACAACAACAATCATTTGGTGGTTTTTGTCGGAAACATTTCTCAAAGTGTCTTTCTAGAATGTTAGACCTCCATTGCCCCTGTCAATAGAGATTCTGCTAAGAAAGAGTGTGGGAAAGACTTGGTTATACAAAGAAGACAGGTTTCTTTATTGTGGAATTTCTCAAAGGCTTCAGTGGGATTGGGACTGCCCAGGAAGACTTTGTCTGTGTTCAGCATTTCCTACATTTATTTGGTAACAGAACATTTTTTTTTTTTTTGTCAAGAGTATCTCACAGGACTGTTGTCTTTCAGAGCTACTACTTGAAAGATGAGCAGCAACAGCTATAAATATTTCCTCTGTGACTCTTGATCACATACAATTGTGGTTGATTATAAGAGGACACTGGATCAGTAAAAAATAATCCCTTTAAACATTTTTCAACCCTATTGTTAGAATATTTTAAAACAGCTTTGCTGCAAACAATACAGTTGCAGACTTTTGTAAGCAGCCCAATTCTCAGAAATTTTATTCTCCTGTGGAGAAACATGTCAGCTGGTTTACAATGACTGTCGTCACAACCTATTCTTAGGGGGAAATGTGTTGCCCCAGCACTCCAAAAACCATGTTCACTTTGAACATGTAGAAATTGAATTGAGGTCCAATTTTGTAAATACTGTCATCTAACTGCCTTGTCATTTCATATTATTAGTAAATTCTTTCTTTCTCTTTTGGGCAGGATTAAAAATGTCAGTACTCACTTCTCCAAGAGGAAAGACAGAAGTGGTTCATTGCCGGAGAACAGAATCCCAGGATATATATTGTATCAAAAATCTCATTAGAAAATTCACCCAGAAGCTGTTTGGAAGGCTTAATGTCATCTATCTTTTGTAAGTAGGTAGCTAAATAAGCTCAAGAATATTTATCAGGTTTATCACCCACCGGGGAGAGATCCTACACCTGTATCCTTGTGAAACTTTCAGTGAGGACACAGAGCACTCATTGGATAGTAAAACAAACAAACAACATGTAGCAAGAAAATATGTCCTGATGGGCTTTTGAGACAGCCATGGATTTCGAATTCAGGAAAACTTTTTCAAACCTCACTTGCATCTGTTACTAGTAGGGTCACTTGGGGCAAGTTAATGGTACTAGCTGTCAGACTTGAGTACTTATATTATGATTGGGTCTATGCTTGGTAAACTTCCATATTTTTAATCACTCTGATTCTTTTCTGAGGGAGTCATTCTCATGTCAATTTTATAGATGAGAAAATAGGCCTTCCCAAGGTTAAACAGCTGGTAAATGACAGAGCCTAGATTTGCTCTTAATGACTACATGATATGCTTCTAAATGTGAAAATAGGCGATTTTTTTTTTTTTTTTAGAGCTTTGTTATCTGAGTTTTATTTATTACTGGACCTTCTGTAAATCAGAATACAAATTTTTAAAATCTACTCATCATTTTTATTGAAAAAGCAAAACGAAGTCCACCATTTTGGATTTCATGAATCTTTTTATTAAATACAATTATAAGGTTTAAAATATGACCAGCCTAAGACGCGCCAGACTGCAGAGCCATTTGAACCTGAGGGTCGGTGGTTCAGCCTCACCAGCTGCTCCTCGGAAACCCTATACAAGGTCGCTATGGGTTGGAACTGACTCAGCAGCACTGAATAACAACAACAACAACAACAAAGGCATTAAATGTTTGCAGTTTCTGATATTCCACAATGATGAAAATTGGCATAATTTTACGGGTGGTGGTGATGTTTATGTGCCGTGGAGTCGGTTCTGACTCATAGTGACCCTGTACAGGGTTTCCAAGGCTGTAAATCTTTATGGGAGCAGAAAGCCTCATCTTTCTCCCATGGAACAGCTGATAGTTTGAACTGGTGACCTTGCATTTGCAGCCTGATTCATTACCAGAGCTCCTTTACTCTAGAGGGTAATAAAGCAGTATGTATAAGATGCTTTAAAATATTTATACCAATGAAATGATTTGGCATAACCGTACATTGTTGTTGTTAAGTGCTGTCAAGTCGGTTCCGACCCATAGCTACCCTGTATTGGGTTTCTGAGGAGTGACTGGTTAGCTTGAACCACCAAGCTTGCAGGTCAAATGGCTTTGCAGTCTGGCGCTTTAACCCACAGCGCCACACCGGGACCCCTATGGTAGATTAGAACAACTAAACTAGTGATACATGAACACACACACATACGTTAATGACTATGCAGAGAGCATTATCAAAATCACAATAGCAAATCCAGGAGATGAGCAGAAACTAATGTCAGCTTTCTACTTGAGGCTTTTTGCCACATTCTGGAAACGACCTACCTCTGATTTGACAGCTTTGCAATGACTGAGAGGTGAGGCCAGCTCAGACCCACTCAAGGAAGAGAGTATCAAAATACTGTAAAAATTGCGGTGTTGAGTATAAGGATGAATAAGATGTAGCCCACTGCAAAAAACAAAAAACGGGCAATAAGGAACTAGCCGGTTTCAACCTCTGTATGGAATGCATGGGGGCGTGAAATCTCCCCTGGGAATTCTTAGATGCACGGGTTGGTTTGAAGTTGTTGTTAATTATCTCTGTGGTCGTCAAAAAACTCCAGTGGAAAATTTAGTTGAAATTGGTACCAGGTTAATAGAAGGCCTATGAGGCTGACCAAAATTAATACAAATCAGGTCTAAAGAGATGGAGTTTCAACTTAGACATCAAATAATATTTTACAGATGAAGTTCCAACGAACATGAGTTCACAGTCATAATTCACAAGTATATGAGAAAACAGTGAACCATTAATGACAATCAACAGGAAAAAAAAATTAACAGATATTAAGCCAAACAAAGAATATGGAATAACTATGTTTATTAAGTCTAACAGATGAAAAGATAAGTTTTAAAAAATGACCAAAGAACAAAAGGACCATGAAATGACCTATTAAGTTTGAAAAAAAGTCAGATAGATCATTTGGAAATGAAAATATAGTTGAAATTAAAGGATCAATAGAACAATTAAACATTATGATAGGCACAGCTGAAGACAATTAATGGCCTACTAGATAAATACCAATCAATTCAACATAAAAAAGCAGAGACAAAAAACATGAGGAGAGCATTGAATGTGTTAGAGCTGATCAAACTTTAAGAGGGCAATAATAGGAAATGCAAGTGTAAGAATCGATATCTAAAGACATAATGGTTGAGACATTTTAGAATGTTGTGAAAAGCACAAATTCTTAGATCCTGTCTTCTAAGAAGCATCTGGCTGTACAAATCACAGATTTGTTTGTTCTTTTAGCATTCTATGGTACTCCCAACTCCCATTCTTCTTCAACACTTTAACTCAAAAATGCACCAATTCTTCTACAGTTTTCCTTATTTATTGCCCAACTTTCACACGAATATGACACTATTGGAAATACTATGACTTGGGTCAGATGTACCTTACAACTTAGTTCTCAAACTGACATTTTTACTCTCGAACATTTTAAAGAGGTCTTATGCAGCACATTTGCCTAATGCAATACATCCTTTGATTTGTTTTCTTTTTTTTAACCTCTGTTACCTTTTTAATTTTTTTTTTTAGGTACACATACCACATTGAAACTATATATTCACTTAAATGTCCAAAGGGCACATTTTTCAAGCAAGCCCCCAGGCACATTGTCTTTCTCAGTCCGTGGGCCTATAGTCCTCTGCTGCTCTATCTCTCTATGCCATCGTCTCTGCCACTGCCTTTGTTGTCATAACTTTTCTGGTTAGGATCCCCTCCTCTCATTCTTTTCCCTCTTGATGGTACTAGGATCCTCTGTTCCTAAAATGACAGATTAGCTGTTCCCCATTAGTTACACCTCTTCTACATTTAAGGGGCTCTGGTAGCGTAGTGGTTACAAATTGGGCTGCAAACCTCAAGGTCACCAGTTCGAAACTACCAGCTGTTCTGTGGGAGAAAGATGAGACTTTCTGCTCCCGTAAAGATTTACAGCCTCGGAAACCCTGTACAAGGTCGCTATGAGTTAGAACCAACTCCACAGCACATAACCACCACCACCACTTCTACATTTACAATTGTGAAAATTACCGTTAATCCTGTTAACATTTACTCACAATTGAAGCATAAAATCCTATCCCCATCATCACCAGACCCATCTGGACAAGAGGAAAACTATTCAGTGCGGATTGTGTCTTACCTGCCTTGTTCTGGATTGTATCTCACCTGCCTTGTTCTGATACTAAGCACCCTCGTGACAGCTTGTAAGCTAGCCACTTCTGCACCCCCAATTCTGATAGCCGAAGTCTAAGTTACCTGTCCCTATCAATCTAGAGTACTGAGGAGGCAGCTTGATCCTTGGTATGAAGAATCCTTCCCTTTTGGTTGGAATTTTGGGCAACTTCATCCATAAGCAAAGGTCAAACAGCTTTGCATTCTGGTGCATTAACCCACAGCGCCACAACAGGACAATAGACAAGCCTTTAAGTTGAACAGTAACGAAAGGGAGTTATGCCCTCCTGAGAACAATCAACCAAATGGGATCAAAAGGCAACATTTGCCCAGCTCAGAAGGCAGGAAGGGTTAGGGAAACGGGAAGCACAGGGAGGAAGTGGGAAGAAGGGAAGAGTGCTTGTTACATTGTGAGGATTTCAGTCCGTGTCATGAAACAAATTTTGTGTGAATGCTTCAACAGAAAATTTATTTGCTTTGTAAACTTTCATCCGAATAATAATAAAAAGTCTAGAAATAAATGAAAGAATTCCTTTTACTATAAGGAACAGGGTAAGGATGACTGTTGCCATCACTCCTTTTCAACATTAAACTGGAGAGCCTCACTATTGTAGTATAAAAGAACTGAAAAGTGTTAAGATTGGAAAGGAAGAAATAAAACTCATTATTTGTCATGAGCTATTCTCTGTGTAGAAAACCAAAGAGGAATCAGTGAAGATATTACATATTTTTACTCAAATAATACATGTATTTTACTATTTCTGTAAATCTTGTAACCCCCTCACACATTAATTTCCTATGTGCGCTGTATGCTTTTTTTATATATGTGCACGTTACATGCAAAAAAGACAGTATTTTTTTTTTTAATGTTTTATTGTCAATTATATGATAGTTTACATGGGAGAACATTACTTTTACATTCATCCTATTGTATATCGTTTCATTGCCATGGTTACAATCCCCTCCATGCATCATCAACCAACCAAAGGGTATACCCTGCAAGCCTGCCCCTTGGTGTTCAGCACACAGACCCTTAAACCCTCTCTATGTCTAAAGTCCCCAGCAGCTCCATCTCTTCACATCATCTTCTCTGCCTCCATCTCAGGCATCACTGCTTCTCTGGGTAGGGTACCGCTCTCCGCTCTTCTCCCTTGATGATCCCAAGGACCTCTGCTCCTAGACTGCAAAGTTAGTCACTCCCTTCCTTGCTACAAAACTTCTCCCTTTACATTTCCAACCCTCACAAGCAGTCCTGATAACAATTATTCACCATTGTGTCACAAGAGATCCAGCTGCATTTCATTTCATCAGCCCCACCTAGACAGATTGTATACTACTCAGTGGAGATTCTACCTTCCTTCACGCGCTCTGAATCTAGGTTCCCTCTTGAAAGCATGTAAGCCAGTCACTTCTCGCCTTTGTAAAAAGACAGTATTTTTGAGATGTTCTGAGTAACCGCCAAAAACCTGAAAAATGTTGAGAGTAGTTTTATTTGTTATAGTAAAAAATGAAGTCACCCAAACAACTATTTACTGTAGAATGTTTGAATAATGGAACATTGGAGACACTGTGGGTTAGGTATTGAGCTGCTAATCCTAAAGTTGGTGGTTCAAGCCCCTCAAGTGCTCTGTGGGAGAAAGATTTGCAGTCTCGAACAAATAG